AATTATTAATTATAAAAAGAAATATCATAATAATAAATGCAATATTAAATAAAGGAAATGAATGATGTGAGTAGTCACATTTTTGAAAATGTTAACACAAGTCATGTTTTTATCTTTCCTATTTATTTTAATAATATTCATAAAAAAGCCAAAAATAGCTCTAGGAAATAACTTGGATGATAAAAACTCAGAATGTCTTCTCACACCTAAGCTTGTCTAGGCTTCAAAGGCTTGAATCTTAATCATGCTGCCTTGACATGCCTCCCGAAAAATAGGTAACTTCTATACCTTCAATGTTGGGTATACATATAACATATCATATTATCATTACAAAAAAGCACTTCTTATGAATAGCAATCAAAATTGGAATCTAGAAGATAGGGAACAAATTAAACTTTTGGAAAAGAACATACAAATCAAAGAATAACACAAAGTGTTTTTTAATTCAATTGATTTTTTTGGTCTAATTTGATCATTTTGCTCTGTAGATGTCTATTTTATGTGAATTTTTCAATCGTCGAGATTTGGTCAGATCTGTTGTTTGCTCAAGTCTCATTTGAAAATGAAATCAATCTAACTAAAACATCATATAGGTTCTTAAACCCATTCCCTTGATTTTTTAGTCAATGATAATATACTATGATCAACTTAAAAATGATACTACCTCCGTCCCTTAAAAATTATAAACTTTGTCAACTTTCATTTTTTGAATGTCTCACTAACTTTGCTACTTTCCCTTTTAAGTAAAAAATTTGTGGTTTCAGTTAATTCTCTCTCCTCTGCACAAACCTCAACTACACACTTTTTACTTTTTTAATCCAGTTTTTTACTTTATGAAGGTAAGATGCGGGAGTCTCGTTTGCGTAGAACACCGAGTGATGCATCTGTCAGACGAATTGAGAGGTGTTGAGAAGACACTACTAGAATTTATACTATTTGTTGTGGTTTATCTTAGCATTTTGTTGCGGTTGTAAACCGCAGCAATAGCGAGCGATGCAGAAAGTATATTAGCCAATCAAATTCAACCACATTTGAACTGTACATGAATGTACGGGAGAGGTATCCTACGGATTAAGATTGTACCGTACCTCTGCCTTACTGGGCCAATAGGAGTCTGACATACGGATTATTAAAATAGGTAGACAAAAGACTATTATTTGCCATTCGGTCCTTGTTTTGACGCTCCAACTAGACGGAGGAAACAACGGATTTTAAAAGTGCAATTTAACCACAGGAAACAAACTCTCGAAGAAGAAGCAACGTCCGGAGAAACGACGCTGCTGTGCTGCAAGTGTACGCAGAAGCAAAGGTATTTTTTCTTGTATTTTGCTAGCGCCGCTGAAGTTTGCCTGACCCGGAGGTGTGCCGTCGTAGTTATCTCCTCCTCACCTCCTGTGTTTACTGGCGGCCTGTTAGGGACCTCCAATTATCCAGAACAATTACAGAGATTATATGAAGAAACAAGAGAAAATCTGTATTGAAGATGATGAAAAGTACAGTAACAAGAAACGATGGCCTAAGCCCCCAAAAGCCGTAGCTCCCAAAGAAAGAGATTATTAGTCTCAGTCTTCCCAAGTCCCAGAACAGTCCAAAAGCCCCTTACTACTCCCCCTTACCGTCTATTTATAATAGAGACCCCTATTACTAATATTATTATTACTTCTAATTATTAGTATAATAGGTAGGTCCCTATCAATACTCCCTCCCTAAACATCCACCTTGCCCTCAAGGTGGGTGGTAGGAGACAGTCAAGATTTTCTGCTTCTGCTTCTTCCTTGATCCTCTTCCTTCCCAATATCTAACTGATTTCTGAGAAAATAGCTTCCATACTTGGTTCTTCCAAGTCACAGATGTTACTGCAGCATATAGTATCTCTGATGAATTTTCATTTTCTTCCTTAGTCTTCAGGCCTTCCATAACCACAAATATTTCCTTATCTTCCTGAGGTGTTTCACCTACACCATTAGCAGAACTTATGTTCATGCCCTGAACCTCTTTGCCAGTGTGATACAACACTGAAACTAAACAACATTTAGTGCTTGAGAATTCAGAGTCAACTCCTTCAACACCATCTGCGTCAGTCCCAATTCTGTGGATTCCCATTCTGATTACAGCTTTATTTCCTTCTATTCCTGTCATTTCATTAATCCCTCCATCAACAGTAATGAAGTTTGGCAGCCAATCCCCATTCTCATTAGTCACTGCAAAGTAATTCTGGTGATTATGCCTGACCATTATTAGTAATGCTTTAGGAAACTTTAGGAAGGTGTTCTTAACTCTTCCCAGTACTGACATAGGTGCTTCAACAAGATTTATAACTTTGTTAAGCAAACCATTCTGCACAATAGGAGATCTATGTACACTCTTTGCAAGATCATGGTACTGCTCCAATATAGATTTCTTGTGTTGATCAACATCATCAAATCTGAAACCATCCATCTTATTCAGACATTCCAGTCTATTGTGTAGTAAACAAGGGTACCTAATATTCGTTAGAACACCCAATCCAAGTTCAAGAACTCTACCAATAACCGGGTTGAAGAATTCCCTAGAACCTTTCGAAGCATCAGATGCTGGGCATCCAAGAGAAATAGGAGCTGCAGTTGCGACAATTTCATGTCCAGCCACAGCTGACAATTTCTCCTCATTTTCATTATCGCCTTCAGTGAACTTCTCTGCATTTTCTCCGAATCGAGAAGCACTCCTATCATCAGCAGACGAAGGTTGCCGCAGGTTAACATACTCATATTTTGTCATCCGCAATTTTGAGTCAGAAACCACTTGTTTCTCCAATTCAGAACCCGCAGTTTTGTCATCAACAAACTCATATTCCAGGGCAGTCGCGGATTGAGTCACCACATAAGTTTTCTCTTCTCGTCCTTCATCATCATTGCTGCAGGTATCTTCATTGACAGGTTGTGGCTGATTAAGGAATTCCAAACCGAGCTGTGACGCTTGCGAAGTGAGATAACCTGCTGGTGATGAAGTTAGTGCGCTGTGAGACGCGGCTTGAGAGGCCATCTGCGAGCTGCTAGAAATCCCTTCCGATGATGTTCCAGGATGATGATCGATTATCAATTGCGATCTGGGAGAACTGGTTTGCGCTGTTGATGGGTGAGGAGAAAAAACCTGCACATTTGGCGACAAACTGGGATACGCAGTAGGCCGATCATTTGATTCGTGATATCTGCGAACTTCTTCCTTCATCGCAGCTCTAGATGCTGCGATGTCTGCCATAATTGCCGCAGTGGTGCTCTGAATCTGTTGAGTCAGCGTGGTCGCTAGGTTTGCCAAAGCCGTCCTCCTCTCCAGGTTCGAACGCTTCTCTCGGTTCGAACGCTTCTCCAGAAGTCCGCGCGAACCAAAGGCGTCCTGTCCTGATCGTCGTTGTTCTCTGGTCCGCTCAGCGATCCTCTTGGTTCGTTCATGTCTCAACATCGCGACAATCAATTTTCCTCTTCCACGATAAAGATGTGACGATCCATTAAGACTCCAGGAGCGAGTGCTCTGATACCAATGTTAGGGACCTCCAATTATCCAGAACAATTACAGAGATTATATGAAGAAACAAGAGAAAATCTGTATTGAAGATGATGAAAAGTACAGTAACAAGAAACGATGGCCTAAGCCCCCAAAAGCCGTAGCTCCCAAAGAAAGAGATTATTAGTCTCAGTCTTCCCAAGTCCCAGAACAGTCCAAAAGCCCCTTACTACTCCCCCTTACCGTCTATTTATAATAGAGACCCCTATTACTAATATTATTATTACTTCTAATTATTAGTATAATAGGTAGGTCCCTATCACGGCCATATTATGGAGGTAATTTTACTATCTGTTATGCTCAAATTTTCACTTTCAATTGTCGTCAATTTTGATTAGGGCGAATGTAGCGGTAGGATTAGATTAGATTTGATGCTCCTGCATTGTCAATTTTGTTTACAGTTGATAATATTAAAAAAATTGTCTTCTATGTTGCATAAGAAGTTGTTGATGCTATTTGTGAGAAAATGATCTTCGATCTGGATAGTTATTGCCTTAACTGATTGTTTAATGTCTGCATTTGGATTGTGGAAGGGAATGCCGAGTACAGAGTGTTTGAACAATTTCAAAATCATTCCAAGTTTTGGATAATTCAATCACATAAATCCAACAAGATTGTGTCTAATTTATTTGTGGTTCATTGCTGTGCTTTTAGAAATGACTTGTTTGTTTTTACTTCAATTTACCTAAGCGTTTCTGTTTTATTTTTAAGAATATTGGTTTCAAATGAAGTGTTTCTATTACAGCAACAACCTGTCCACTTTCATTCGAGTGAAGGCATACTGTTATAATGTTTGAATTGGGAATCTCAGGCTGCATAATCACTTGCCCCAGGCTGCATAAAGTTTGAATTTGACATTTTTAGTAGTTATGTCCTTACAATTTGCAATAGTTTCTTCCAGGTTTACCATGATCATTCGAGTGGGTTATACTTACAAGGTGATCTGTGATAAGCATTTTTATATGAATGATTTCAATAAACCAGAATTGAGGCTTGGTTCTTGTCATCCAGTTATGCAATTTATGTGTGGATTAAAAAGCATGTTCCATTGTCCTTAGGAGATAACATTTCCTAATGTTGTTATATCCAGAGTGTTTTAGGTGTGAGTTATTTCTGTGAAAATGGTTTCTGATCTCAGATTGACAACATAAATTCCTTTAAGCGTATCAAAATGTTTCTATTTGTTTTCAATATAGCCTATATAAGCTGTGACCTGTCTTGATTAAAAACTAAGTTGCTAGAGATTGTATGTTCTGTCATATCCACTGAATGAGTCCATCATTTTCTCATCTACCATTCTTCTAGTAGCCACATCCCCACATGCTCATGTTATTTATTGGCTCCTGACCTATTATAACTGATCTTGCAATCTCACTTTGTTTGCTTTCCCTTCTTGATTAAACTTAAGATCTCTTCTGTTATATACCAAGTACCAACACATTGGTCTTTTGGAATTCCAGCTCATTGATGAAGTATCATCTCACAATCTTTTGCCTTTTATTGTTGGTGGAACGATTTACTATATACAGGTTGGTATTGCCATTTCCTTCAGGGCTTGTTTGGTTTGGGGTTTTTTGAAGGGAGGGGAGTACTTATTTACTACATATATTTTACTAATTTATCTCTATTTGTTAGCCATAGATCAGAAAGTTACATCTTCAGTTAAATTATGTATTTCTATTTGATTTTCATCTTTTCTTCATTTACAACCATCTATATGTAATATAAAAACTAATGAAATAAGTATCACTCCCCTCTTCCAGTCTTCCTCCCTTCTGAAGTTTCTCAACATAAAAGGGCTTAGAGTTTGGATGATAAACTTAACTATCTAGGAAGGTGTGCTTGTCCTTGTATGATCTAGGATGTTATAATTGAGAGACTTTTGCTGATGTTGTGAATATTTATCATTTCTATTGAGATTTTCTTTATATGCGAATAAATCTTTTTCTTTGTATTTTACATTTTTACCATCTTTTCTTTGTTTTTGCACCAATCACTTTAATGGCAAACTTTTCTAGTTTCAAGTGAAGCAATACAGTTTGCACGCCAATAACATTGTTGTTTGATGACATCACCATTACCTTTCAAATTGGAGGTCACTCATTTTAATCTCATTCCAAATACGGTTAGCAGTATTATTGAATAAATACTATAAATAGGTTACAGTGTATTCCAAATGAAGTGTTTCTATTACAGCAACAACATGTCCACTTTCATTCGAGTGAAGGCATACTGTTATAGTGTTTGAATTGGGAATCTCAGGCTGCATAATCACTTGCCCCAGGCTGCATAAAGTTTGAATTTGACATTTTTTGTAGTTGTGTTGCTAGATTTCATCTTTAAAATTTGCAATAGTTTCTTCCAGGTTTACCATGATTATACGAGTGGGTTATACTTACAAGGTGATCTGTGATGAGCATTTTTATATGAATGATTTCAATACACCAGAACTGCAACACAGTAAAGACTGAAATATTGCATTTTTGTATGAAATATTGCATGTCTGTTTCCACGCTTTTATGTCTCTGGAAATGGCAAGATTTCAGAACTATTGCATTTGTTTTTTAACGAGTAATATGCGTCAACTGCTTCACTATGTTTCCCTTCCACTTACGTACTCAGGGCCTTTTTTTTGCCTCAATTTGTATGCTTCTTTCTATGGATTGCTTGTTTTTGACACATTTGTCTTTGGCTGAATCTCTTCAACTCGTAGATGTAAGAAGAAAGGCCTTGGCACTTGCTTGGAGTAACTACCACCTTTGATGTTTTGGCACATGGGTAAACCTGCAGCACGAAGACTATTAATAAGAAGAATTACTGAGGAAATGTCATTCTTTGGTTTCAATGCCTGTGGTGTGAAGGAATGTTTTTTTTATTTGTTTATTCATTATTTCATTAAATAGCATTATTTGTTAGAGAACTCATTGAAAACATTTTCGTTTAGGAAAAATAATGCTTCCATATATTCCTAATTATCACACTAGGCAGAATGGCCATGTAAATCCCACTAAGCTATCATACGTAGTATTTTATTTCATAGTATGTCAACATCATCCATCCTGCAACATCAATGCAACATCAATCCAAAGTATTTTCATTTACAATACACTTTGCAGCATCCAAATCCACATTAATAATACTCTAGTAGCTACTGAAAAGTCTAAAACTTTAGCACAAATAATCATTTACTAACCTTTAGGAACAATAAAATCATCAAGCTCAAATACTTATCAGCAAAGTCAAAGAGGACATGTAAAAGAGGAGCAAACATAATGTCTTGAGAATGAAAAAGATGAAACTGAGAGGCCACATGCAAAGACACAGTTTGTCGAGTCTGCAAAAACAGAATCTTTAACAACAATTACTTCTAATAAGAAAAAGGAGTAATCTATTGGCAGATTAATTGGATCCAAGCTTGCTCAGTTGGGAGATAAGAGCAAGGTATTTTAGTGAGTCATATTTCATTATTCCATTATATTCCAAAACCAAAAAATTGTGAATCTTTGGCTCCATTGCAAATGATGGAAAACAGGTGAGATTTATTATGAATAATAATTACCAAACCATATTTAGATTAAGCAAACATATGGCCTAAAAGATAATGATGTGTAGGGCTGGCTATACTCATTTTTAGAACTGGCATTTTTGGCTGGTTGAATTGTTGGAACATGCGGGTATTCCAATATAGCACCAACCAGCTAATGCCAATGCCTCACTTCCCCCCCCCCACTAAATCAATCACCAGTTTTGCAATTAGATAGTTTTGTTCATTCTCGACGTTCAATTTACTTACTATCTTAATGTGATGCATCAGCTGACATCTTATAATTCTTTTCAAATCATCATAAGCTAATTGTACACTTCTGCATGTCATAATCTAAAATTTTCCACATAAAGATTACGCTAGTTGAATATTTATCATAAATACAAGCATATCACATGTTGTGATGACAAGAAATAAATCCCAGTTAGAATTTGTTGTCTGCTATAATTATTCATTTATGCCTAATAGTGAATCTGAGGTGATCGAAAGGTTCCTACTTTCTATAGCCATTTCTACAATTTTACGCAGCACATAACCAAGAATATTAAAGATCCAGCCTTTATTACACATTAATCATAGTTCAATAAAGCTTCAGTAATTTCTAAGAAGTGGAATCTTCAAAAAGTTTAAACTGACTATGCACCAAAAATTTGTAACCAAAACTAAATATATGTACCCCAAATCTACGGAATTCGAGAGTTTGGTTGAACCAGAGTTCGCCCCTGGTCAAATACTTGTTGCTTTCCGAAGAGGGGCGCTGCAACGCTGTCATTAAAAATTGAATATTAGTATTTAGTACATTCCAAGTCATTTCATTAAGGGAAGGGAGGAAAAGTTTTGGTGAAGAAAAAAAGAAGATAATGCAAGAACAAATTTACCACGATATTAGGGGCCTAATGCTTGCAAAAACAAGGTAAATAATTGAGAAAGATAAGCAAATAGATCCAAACTCCAAAATACATTAAATACATAATGCTAATCCAAAGGTGAATGATTACGCACAAGGCATTGAAGAATACCTTATCTACAAAAGGAACAGGCTACTAAGTACCAGGAAGTATTTGTCGTCGATTACTCCATAATCTAATACTTTTGTGCTTCTAAATCTAGAAGAAAAGAAGCAAAACTTTACTCTGCATATCATTGTAAGAAAACGTTACAAGTTCCTTATATGCTCTTGCAACAAATGAGTATAGTAGACCGAGTGAAATTTGTTAGGTGGCCCAACAAATCACAGTATTCTAAGCTCAAATCTTCCTTGGTTTTTCAGCATTGAAGACCAGTGGATATGGCTATATCCTTATGAACTTTATTTTCACCATACTCTCACTCCAAATGACGTTAAAATGATCTCAAATGACTGTTGTATTAAGAAAGCAATATCAATAATGTTTTTTTGATTTTTTGGAGGATAAAAGTGGAGCCAAAATAGACGTAATAACAGATGGTTGGTTTTCATGCTTAATAAATTAACGAATTCGCATTTGGCTTCCTATGGATATCATTGAACTTCTCTTGTTGATAAACAGCGGTTGAAAAATCAAACAAGAAGAGAAACTCTGCAGGTGACAAACTGCTAATGAAAAAACTCTATACTTGCAGAAATTGGACCAGGGGAAAATTTGGTCATATTAAGTAATACTAATTCCTCGGAATTGTAGTCTAGTAGGAAACAACATAACCTAAGTGGGCGGCATAAGAACTCAATGAACCTAAGCGAGTCACGGAAGTAATTTTCACTACTTTCTGATATGCACATTCTTTTAAGAACTCAATGAACAGAGTGACCTAGAAGATACCTTCGCCAAGACCAGAAGTAGGCGCCACTATGGCAAACCTCACCATCTCCGGTAGCTACTCTCCTCAACCGACTACTGCGGTGCTATCCCCAAACTTTTTAAACCAGCAGCGGCGACCCGTCCCGTCCCTCCGATAGCTCAACTCCGCTGCCTACTGTTGAGGCGTTATCCCCAATTTTTTAAATCCAACAGCTGCGACACATTCCTCTGGTGCAGTGTTCAGAGCCCGCGAAGAAGAAACTGGATGCAACCATGCCGTCACGTCAAATAGAAACGGCTAATGGAAGGGCCACTAGTGCAATTCATTAAAACTTGATATTAATGAAATGTAACTCATGCCACTCCATGTCATACTAAAAAATATGTGAAATACGTATATTGAATCTCCATGTGTCATAACATCATTTATCCATGTAATCAATTGTACCGTACCTTCCAATTTATGAAGGTACCATAGAAGTACCCATCCTATGATTAGGGTTCTTTACCTACGTGGATTATGTTCATATGAACGAACAAAAACCCAAAGGTTGGGTTTAGAAAGTTGAACAAAAATGACGTCGTTTTGATAAATAATACAGTAAGAAATAAACTCTGTCGCCATATGCTCGGCAAATCGCAGAAATGCTCAAGTCTTTGCTCGCCATCGCGCGCCGGCCACTCCTACAAATCCAATCCTCCGACCGTTCCGTTCGTCGCTCCATCAACCATCCGGCCTCCGCTCGTCGTGACATCGTCGATCTGGATTCCTCTTCTTGCGCGTCGCGACCTCACAACCGACTGACCAAGTAACCAACGCTACTAAGCTAGGTACTCCAATAATTCATACTTCTGGTTGCATTGTTGAATCTAGGGTTTTGTGGACTGCAGATGCCATTTTGTATCTTTTGTGCGTTGCTCAGTAAAAAGCTAACATTTTTGAGTGGATTTTGAGTGGGAAACCTAAATGATTCAGGAATTTGAATATGAGCGATGGAGGTAAAGTGGAGAGTAGACAAGATGGAAGGAATGCACTGGACAATCGGGCCAGTTCCCTTGAATTTGGAAGTGCCATATCAAGAATTGCTGTGGCTCAGATATGCGAGAGTGTTGGGTTTGAGAGCTCCACTGAAGCGGCTATGGATTCCTTCTCAGACGTTATAGCCAAGTACATTTCTGACCTGGGAAAGACTGCTACTTCCTATGCCAGTTTATCTGGGAGGTCCCAGTGTAACGTATTTGATGTGATTCACGGGTTGGAGGATTTGTGTCCACACACGGGGTTTATAGGTGCTTCAGAAACAAACATCTGTGGGGTGAATTCAGGTGTTATGAAGGAGATAGTTGAGTATGTTGAGGCTTCTGAAGAGATTCCTTTTGCTCAGCCAGTCTCGCGTTTTCCAGTGATCATAATCCCAAAGATGATTCCTACTTTTGATCAAATAGGTGAAAATCCAGAGTCTAAGCACATCCCGCCTTGGTTGCCTGCATTCCCGGATCCTCACACCTATATACACACAGATACATGGAACGAGAGGGTATCCGATCCCCGAGATGACAAACTTGAATTAGCCAGGCAACGCAGGAAGGCAGAGAGGTCTTTGTTGAATTTGCAGCAGCGGTTGGTATCCAATGGTTTGCCAGTGCCTTCGAGTTCACATAAGCTAAGTGTATGTTTGGATCCCGAAAACTGCTAGGGAGAAGTAATGTTTATATTTAAATAGCAGATATAAAATAAATTCATAAAATGAGGATCCACAGAGATCTTAATTCTTAAATAAATTACTATTGCGCTGTAACCTATATTTATTTCCTTCCGCGTTTACTTCCTTTTTAATATTTGTTTCCTTTTTCTTTCCCTAGCAATTTCCGGGTTCAAAATTGACTCTGAATGACGAGGAGAGTGAGAACCCATTCCTTTCTAGGACATTGCAAGGTGGAGACAAAGATGCGTTTTCTATAGCTCTTCCTGCCAAATTCTCTGCCAACGATCACCACACCTCTTTCCTACAGACTTTTTCTCCTGCAATCGAGGCCATTAAAGACGGCATTTCTGAGTTGGGAAATGGGACAGAGAAAAAACATGTTAACTACAAAAGGCTACCCGCTTTGTGTTTGGAGTTCAAACCTGGTAAGAAGGTTTTAGGTGATTCTTTGGATGTGAGGCTTTGGAACAGTGGTGGTTCTGGAAGAGGAGCACCATGGTTCAGGAGAGATGATGATAATAAAGATGATAAAAAGAGGAGAGCTGAATTGATTCTTCGACAATCAATTGAAAACCAGCAAGAACTGATGCAGTTGTAAATTAGTTTGGTGAAATTATTTGTGGTCACAAAAGTGTAGGTTTAGTTGATGATAATCATGAAAAAACACTGTATCTATATCTCAGGAGTGTGAAGAAGAAGCCAAATCATAGCTCCAGGCATTTTTTCAAAAGTTAGTTTTTGTTTTCTATTAATGATATGTTTTTCTACAACTGAAAAAATCAAATTCTAGTTCTCGGTGAGATTCTTGTTTGTAGACGCCATACTTTTCCAAGTTGAATTGAAGAGTATTGTACAATTTGTTTTTCAATATTTTTCTTTAAGGAGTTTGTTTTTAATGAGAATCCAAAGGGTGGCAAAGCGGGAATTGCTTCTGTACATCTCTTCTTCTGGCGTTTTACATTGCTCTCCAATTTGTTAATATGTTTGTTCATGATCAACATGAAGAATCAGAACTAG